AATAGGGCTCAGAGAAAAAGTCACAGCAATAAAAGCATATATCTATAAAAAAGAAGGGCCCAAAATTAGTAACTTAACCCAACAATTAGGAAATTAAGGACCCAATTACAAGAAATAAAGTTGTGTGTATGGGTGGGGGGAGAACGAAATAGGGAAGAGATGAAGAAACAATCAGTAAGACTAGAAGTTAAAAAAAATAAAATAAGACTAGAAGTTAGTTCTTTGAGAGATCAATAAAAATTACAAACCATTAGCCAAATTAACAAAGGAAAGGAGGAATGTGGCATCAGGATTGGTGGAAGAGTCATCAACAACCTGCGTTATGCAAATGACACAACCCTGCTTGGTGAAACTGAGGAGGACCTGAAGCACTTGCTACAGAAGGTCAACGACTGCAGCCTTCAATCTGGATTGACCCTCAATATCAAGAAAACAAAGATTCTCATCACTGGGCCAACTGGAAGCATCAGTATGGATGGTGTAGAGATTGAGATAGTTAACAGTTTTAGTTTACTTGGCTCCACAATCAACACTCTTGGTTACAGGAGCCAGGAAATCAGGAGATGAATTTCACTGGGAAGGTCAGCTATGAGGGATCTCTTAAGAGTACTGAAGAGCAATGACATCAGCATGGAGACTAAGGTGTGCCTGACCCGGGCTGTAGTCTTCGCAATTATGTGCTATGCATTAGAGAGCTGGACAGTGACTAGGGATGATAGAAAGAGAATTGATGCCTTTGAGCTGTGTTGCTGGAGAAGACTGTTGAATATACCATGGACTGCTAGGAGAACAAACAGGTTATGTCCTGGAGAAGGTGAACCTAGAATGCTCCTTGGAGTCAAGGATTCTGAAGCTTTGTCTGACATACTTCAGGCAAATTGCAAGGAGGGACTGGTCCCTGGGGAGGGAAATCATGTTTGGCAGAGTGGAGGGGCACCACAGGAGAGGAAGACCTTCGATGAGATGGATCGATTCTGTGAGTGGAGTGGTGGGAATGAGTGCATTTGAGACGGCTAGGTTGGTACAGGATAGAATGGCATTTAGGGCTTGTACATAGGGTCACTATGAGTCGCAAGCGACTTAATGGCACATAACAACAACAACAAATAATGAAAACAAGAAATTAGGTAAGAGCCATCACAACAGAATCAACTTAGTCCAAGAGTCATCACAGAAGACAGAAAATTGTATTCCAAGCAAATGGAAAAATGGAAGAAATGCACAGATTTCTAGAAACACATTACCTACCTAATTCAGCACAAATAGAAACAGGACATCTACATAAATCTGTAACGAAGATGACATTTTAAACAAAAAACACCAAAAACTTAAAAGATACCAGGTACAGAACTGGAGAAATCTACCAAACAAAAGAAAAAAAAACCCCACACTTTTTTAGGTTCTACTAACCACTGAGAGTTGACATCAGCTCTGCTAAGAGTATTCTAGAACATAGAAAAGCAAAGAAAACTAATTCATTCCATCAAGCCATAATAAGCCTGGTACTAAAGTCAGGCTTTGAATAACACATACACAAAAAATTACAGACCTTTATCCCTCATAAAATTAGTGCGAAAAATGATGAGGATAGCACAGGGTTAAGCCAGACGGTTCAGAGGGTACCTATAAGTCATACTAAACTCCACAGCACCTAACTACAAAAACAACATCCATCATTAACATGTTGCCGCAAATGACAGTAATACATGGGGGGGTGGGGGGAAATGTGTTTCTAAGCACAGTCATCAATGTAAAAGTGTGCGGCAACATGTTAATATGGACACAAAAACTCAACAAAGTTCTAATCAGCAGAAATCAATGTTGTTGTTGTTGTTGTTATGTGCCGTCGTTTCCGGCTCATAGCGACCCTATGCACAACAACCCTAAACCCTGCTCTATCCTGCGCCAACCGCACGGCCTCTGACACACCCATCCCAATTACCCCAGTCACCAAATCAATCCATCTCATAGAGGGTCTTCCCCTCCTGCGCTGTCCCTCCACCCTCCCAAGCATGATGTCCCTCTCCAAGGACCCGTCCCTCCTGGCAACATGTCCAAAGTATGTCAGACGAAGCCCCAGAATCCTTGCCTCCAAGGAGTAGCTTGGTTTAATCCTCTCCAAGATGAATCTGTTTGTTTTCCTAGCAGTCCATGGTACATTCAGTACCCTTCTCCAGCACCACAGCTCAAAAGCATCCACTCTCCTTCTGTCCTCCCTAGTCATTGTCCAACTCTCTGATGCATAACAAGCGATTGCAAATACCATGGCCTGTATCAGGCGCACCTTAGTCTCCAGAGAGACACTGCTGCCCCTGAGTACCTTTGAGAGGTCCCTAACGGCAGTCTTTCCCATCGCGATACTCTTTTTGATTTCCTGACTGCTGGTACCAAGAGTGTTGACTGTGGAGCCGAGCAAACTGAAGCTGTGAACACTCTCAATCTCTTTGTCATCCATCCTGATGCTGCCAATTGGTCCAGTGGCGAGAATCTTTGTCTTCTTGACATTGAGCCTTAGTCCATACTGAAGGCTGCAGTCCTTGACCCTTCGCAGCAAGTGCATGAGGTCCTCCTCAGACTCAGCAAGCAGGGTTGTGTCATCTGCATAACGCAGATTGTTAATAGATCTTCCACCAATCCTGATGCCACAATTCTCCTCAATAGTATATTAAAAAAATAATCTATCATGATTACACAGGATCCAGCTGAGATGTAAGGGTTACATTGTTCAGTATTAGAAAATAAAAAACATAATTTACCACAAAGTCAAAACAAAGGAAATTTATCACACGATCATTTCAATTGAAGCAGAAAAGGCATTAGATAAAATATCCTTAAAGATTTAAAAAAAAATCAAACACAACACAAAACTCTCAACAAAAGAGAAAATAGGAAAATTCCTTAACACAATTAGGAAAATATACACAAAACCAAGAGCCAACATTATCATCAACAGAGAAATATTCAGAGAATTCCTCTCAAAAACAGGAATGAAACAAGAATGTCACTATCATTTCTTATATGAAAGAGGAAGAGAGGAATTTCTTGGAAAGAGATCTCAAGCTTGGTAAGCCTCTCAACGAGATGGACCAAAACAGTGAATGCAACAATTGGCCTAAAAGTTTGTCAGACACAGTTGACCAATTCAGCAAAGTGGCAGAATACAAGATCAACACACAAAAACCAACTGGATGTCTCTACAGTGACAAAGAAAATACAGAACTGGAGCTAAAAAAAAATACCCTTCACAATAGCTGATCACAAGATTAAATACTTAGAGAAGTAAACCAAACCAAAAGCACAAAGGATCTATTCAAATAAAATTACAAAACAATACTAAAAGAAACAAAAAGAGACCTAGAGAGGTAGAAGAATACCCCGTGCTCATGGATAGGAAAACTCAATATTGTGAAAATGACAACACTATCAAAGTGTTTACACATTCAGTGCAATCCAAATACAAATTCCATTCTTCAATGAGATGGAAAACATAATCTCCAATTTTATTTGCAAAGGAAAGAGGCTTTGAATAAGCAAAGCACTCCTTAAAAAGAGAGACAAAGTAGGAGGCATCTCACTCCCTGATTTCAAATCCTACTACACTGCTGTGGTGGTCAAGACAGAGTGGTACTGGTACAATGACAGACATATAGATCAAAGAAATAGAATAGATCCAGAAATCAGCCCATCTATACCTATGGTCAATTGATTTTTCACAAGGAGATGAAATCAGTTAAGTGGAGAAATGACAGCCTTTTTAACAAATGGTGCTGGCAAAATTGGAAAACTATCTGCAGAAAACTCCATCAAAATCCACACTTCACTCCATATACAAAAACCAACATAAGTTGGATCAAGGGCCTAGGACTATAAACTTTATTAAGGAAAAGCTTGGAAGAACATTAGAAGTCCTAATACACAACCTAAACAGTTTTCCAAGCATCCTCAAAAACCTATAACCAGGAGAAGATAAAATAGATAAATGGGACCTTCTAAGAATCAAATCCCTATGCACATCCAAAAACTTCTCCAACAGAGTAAAAAGGGAAGCCTTTTTACTGGGGGGAAATACGTGGTCTCTGGAGACTAAGGTGAGTCTGATACAGGCCATGGTCTTTGCTATCACTTGTTATGCATCAAAGAGTTGGACAATGACTAAAGAGGATAGGACAATTGATGCCTTTGAGCTGTGGTGCTAGAGAAGAGTATTGAGGGTACCATGGACTGCTAGGAAAACAAACAGATTCATCCTGGAAAGGGTTAAACCGGGTGACTCCTTGGAGTCAAGGATTCTGAGGCTCCGACTAACATATTTTGGACATTAAGGAGGGATTGGTCCTTGGAGAGAGACATCATGCTTGGTAGGGTGGAGGGACAGCTCAGGAGGGGAAGGCCCTCATGAGGTGGATTGATTCAGTGACTGGGATAATGGGAATGGGTGTGTCAGAGACAGTGTGACTGGGAAAGGACAGAGCAGAATTTAGGGCTGTTGTACACGGGGTCAATATGAGTCCCAAGCAACTCGACAGCACATAACAACAACGACATGTCAGACACGGGACTTATATTTAGAATATATAAAGTACTCAAACACCACAACAAGATAAAGGTAAATAACCCAGTTGAAAAATGGGCACAGAATACGAACAGACACTTCACCAAAGAAGACATTCAGATGGCCAAGAAACACATGAAGAAATGTTCAAAATCACTACCTCTGTGAGAGATGCAAATCAAAACAACTATGAGATATCATCTCACCCCAGTAAGAACAGCAAAATTTAACAGAGTAGCAAACATAAAATCCTGGCGAGGTTACAGAAAATGTAGGTTGTTTATGTTAAGAGTCGGGACGCCTGGCTGTCAGCTCCATTATGTTGTCAGATCTTGACGCTGTCAGTTGGGGGGTCGTCTTGGTCGCGGTGCAAGCTTTGTCTCCATTGCTTTGGACTCTCTGGACAGAACGATGAGATACTCAAGAAGAATTTACTGTCCTAATTGGGATGACAAGGGTTGCGATTGTGGAACATGGAGGAGCATCAGCGGTTACAAAAGGAAGAGATCACATAGCCGTGCTTGGGAGAATAAACGCTGCAAATATAATCACTCCAGAACATCGGATAGATGAAATTGTTGGTACATTACGTGAAGGAGCTTTCGGGAAAGTAGTAGAGTTCATCGATCATAAAGCAGGAGATAGACGTGTTGCGGTAAAAATAGTAAAAAATGTAGACAGATACTGTGAAGCTGCTCGCTTAGAAATACAAGTTCTGGAACACTTAAATACAACAGATCCTGACAGTACATTCCACTGTGTTCGGATGTTGGAATGGTTTGAACAGCATGGACATGTTTGTATTGTGTTTGAACTATTGGGACTCAGTACATATGACTTCATTAAGGAAAATGGCTTTCTACCATTTCGAATGGATCCTATCAGGAAGATGGCTTATCCGATATGCAAATCTGTGAATTTTTTACACAGCAATAAATTGACTCACACAGACTTAAAGCCTGAAAACATCTTATTTGTACAGTCGGACTACACGGAGGAAATGAAACGTGATGAGCGTACCTTAATTAATCCAGATATTAAAGTGGTAGATTTTGGAAGTGCAACATATGATGATGAACATCACAGTACATTGGTGTCTACAAGACATTACAGAGCACCAGAAGTTACTTTAGCCCTAGGATGGTCTCAGCCATGTGATGTCTGGAGTATAGGATGCATTCTTATCGAATACTACATTGGGTTTGCTATATTTCCAACTCATGACAGTAAGGAACACTTGGCAATGATGGAACGAATTCTTGGACCTTTACCAAAACACATGATACAGAAAACCAGGAAACGTAAATACTTTCATCATGATCGATTAGACTGGGATGAGCACAGTTCTGCTGACAGATATGTGTCAAGACGTTGTAAACCTCTGAAAGAATTGATGCTTTCTCAGGATGCTGAGCAT